TGAAAGATCAAAACCCTTTTAGTACCAAGAAACTACATCACATTTTGATATCACAGACATTGCAGCTTCTGCAGGGAGGCACAGGGCAGATCACTGCATTGGATTAATGTTATTTCCAACAGACAAACATTAACTTTATGAGCAAAAAAATCTTCCCAAAACGTCCCCTCACACACGTGCTGGTGTGTGTTTGGTCACTGAGCATTTATCAAGACAACAGTTGAGAGGAGCTCAGAAATGAAATCATTTCAACTCACTGCATTTCCTGTGACTCAAAAATGAAAGCATTGATAGGCAATAAATAATCATTAAGAGGTGAAACCCTAAAATCAGTGCACTGAAGGAAAAGCAGCCCTTACCTATTGCTTTTATTTGACACAGCCCCTCTGGATCGATAACAATTTACACTCTTGGGAAAGTGCCATGGCAGATTTTTTTTTTTTTTTTTTTTTTTTTCTTGGTGGAGGCTCTTCCTGCCAGGCAAGAAGTAGCCAGAACTTATTTATCAAACTTGTGCCAATTTGGCTTGGGAATTCCACTCACTGGGAGGAATTTGATGCTCCCCTCCCTTGCACAAGCATTTTCTCTGCCTGGACCCTCACCCCTTTTTCTATTTAAATGCAGACATTGCTCATTTTTCCTCTTAGCACAGCTGCTGCCACGGGGTTTTTAGAACCAAAAGCTCCTTTTTGCCTGTTCCTGGAGGCAGTCTGTGCTCCCAGTATTTATGAAGGCAAGGCTGTGGAGCCTTACACAGGCTGTAAACCCAGTCTGAGAGATTTTATTTGGGAGTAAGCACATACTCTTTATTTTCACTTACTCTTTTCTCAGCAGGCATGTTTCAAAAGAGTGCAGCTAGCTTTTTGCAGGGAAGAGATTGGTAATATTTCTTATTATCCTCAATACCCAAGTGGAACTTAATTATAAAACGTTGACATTTTCTATAAAAGACAAGTCCTCCTTCTTCCTGCAGTTTTATTTTGAGGGATGGTAATATGTGGCAAATTTGTTTGGAGTCTTAACAGCTTTATCATGCAAAGGCTCATATTTTAAGTGTCAACTTGTCTTTCTGGGCACTTTTTCTTAAAAAAAGAATATAAACTTTGATTCAAAATGGAAGCAAATGGCTCTGTAAAGCCTCTAGGTAGAGGATTGCTATTAAAGTTTTATCCCCCATCTACATGACTGAAATTGGTTATTAGTGAAATGTTCCAAAAAGCCTCCATAAGGCAGCAGGAGGCCATGTGAGAAAAAAAAAACAAAAAAACCAAAAACCCTCTTCTGTTGCAGGCTATCATGGCTCAGCTGCCTCAGGAGCAGAAAGCCAAGATTGCTGAGCAGGTGGCCAGCTTCCAGGAGGAGAAGAGTAAATTGGATGCTGAAGTGTCCAAGTGGGATGACAGTGGCAATGACATCATTGTCCTGGCCAAGCAGATGTGCATGATCATGATGGAGATGACAGATTTCACCAGGTGAGCATTTGGGATTTGTGCTCACCCTGAGCTGCCTGGGCTTTCAGTGACACACAGTTCAGGCTCTCCTCAGAGTCTCACTTCTTCTCATTTCCTTTAAATGGTGCCCTGTGCCAGCTGCATATGAACTGGGGAGATGCATTATTGTGCAGTGGCTGGGTGGTAATAACTGCTTAAATTGATCTACAGATACACAGCAGTTATTGCTTGTCTTTCTTTCTTTCTTAAGGGTGATTCTTGTCCCCAGGAAAAAATAGATATATATATATTTGTTCAGTTCTTTGCAGGCATTAAATTCTATGAGCTTCTCAATATTGCCATACTGCAGAAATAGTTCCTAGTACAGTTATTTGCAGAGGGTTTTTGATGCCTTTTGAAATTAATTTACCAGATTTTATATAACGCTGTTTTTTAAACTTCATGTTCCATTCCATAAAAATTGCAAATCCGTCTTCTAAAATGTTACCTCTTATCATCATTAAGCTGCACAAAGCAGTGAAATTTCAGATGTTTTTATTCCTGGATTTAAGCTGAATGTGGGGAAGAGCTGAAAGGGGGTAACTCTTGCCAGTGAAGGTGCTGGAATTGCAGCTCCTGCCTTTTGCTGCCCTTTGGGTGAGGAGTCACTGCCAGCACAGAAGGAGAAAAGGCACCCAGAAGTCACTGCTGTGGTTTTTTTTCTGGTGCTAGGGGAGAACCTGTGCTCTGTTTTGCAGGGGCAAAGGCCCACTGAAGAACACGTCAGATGTGATCAGTGCAGCCAAGAAAATTGCAGAGGCTGGCTCCAGGATGGACAAGCTGGGCAGGACCATTGCTGACCACGTGAGTCACATCCCCTGAGCCAGGGCAGCTCTTCTGTACTGCAGCCATGATGGCCACATCAGAATGTGTTTGCTTTGGGGCTCTTCTCACTGATTTTCTCTTTTTTTTCTCTTCTCTCCTGCCTCCCTGAGCAGTGACACAGCAGCTCCCTGGCTGGAATCTGTTGGGAGTCAGTGAGTCAGGAGGAATCAGAGTGCAGGGATTGAATTAAAACCTTTGGATAGATTATGTTAAGCCACTCACATATAAGGCAAAAGTTTAGGTTTTAGCATAAGTGAGCAAGCAGGCAAGCAAGTAGAATTCATTTTAAGTGCTTTTAGTGAATAAAGGCCTTAAATGCCAAAGAAGTAGTACATGTTCTAGTGAAAGTTAAAAAACATTATCCTAGATACTAGGAGTTCTGTGGAGGCTCCAACAACACAGTTTTAGACATAATAAAGCTATAATAAAAATATTGCTTGCATTTATAAGATAAACCATGTACTAGTTTATCCACAGCCTGGCATGCTAAGAAACTAAAATTAAAGGTAAAAAATAGTGGTGCAAGTTTGTGTCTTGGCCTGTTGGGAAGTTTCTAGATAAGAACATGCATTAGGGAGAGCTGGTGCATTTTGCCATTGCATTTTGTCATTGCATTTTGCCATTGCATTTTGCCATTGCATTTTGTCATTGCATTTTGTCATTGCATTTTGCCATTGCATTTTGCCATTGCATTTTGCCATTGCTTTATCCATTACTTTTGCCACTTGCTTTTATGCCCTGTGCTCCTGTCATTGCTTTGCAGCATTTTAGGATGAATTTTCAGAGGAGTGGGGAGGGTGTCAGAGCTCTCTGGGGTTTTTTCACTGTCTGGTCAGAGCTGCTGAAGACTTGGAGCAAGGCCTGCAGTGACCTGAGCGTGGCTGTGCTGTCCCAGTGTTTGGAAGGAATTCTGACAGGATGGAACAAGCTCAGGGATTGATTTATGCAATGCTTGTCCTGAGCCACTTCAAAACTGGGCCAAGCAAGAGCACCTTTGGCCTCAGCCCACACCCAAAACCAACATTAATAATAATATTCCACCTTCAAGAGAAACTCTGAAATGCAGGGAGGTGAAGTCTGAGATCGTGGAGCAAACTTTGTTTTCTCCAGTTGTCCTTTGCTTCCCAGGCCTTTTCAGGATGGAAATTTGTATTGCAAGGTTTTAACTGAGCCAGTGTCACTTGGAAATTAAATCATTGCAGTGCAGGACTCTCCCTTAATGTTGCATTCAGAGGTGCTTGTCTACACCCTCGTTCATTAATGATGCAGTGAGAAATGTTCAATGGGGACATAAATTTGAGGAGTGTTTTTTCAAATTATTCTCCTTGCTACAGCACTTTGAGAGCCTTGTTTCTGCAAGAACCAGGTGTGCTGCTGATGCAGGTAAATGAAGCAAGGAGCAGTTTGTGTTTGAGGTCTCAGAGGAGCTTGGGCTGAACGTTTACAAAGTTGTTTTTTTTTTTTTTTTTATTCACATGTTTTATGCAAAGTTAGTGTATGGTTTTCTGTACTGAGCCATTTCAAAATACAAAAGAAAAGTACTTTTAGTAGCAGCAAGGTCCTTAAAAATGTAACAGATTAAGCACATGTTTGAAGATAAATATGAGCAGCACTGTACAGTTAGTCATTTTGACAAGAATATAGCTTTTTCCTGACTCCATACTCTGCTAATACTTTGAGCCTGCATATTTCATTAGATGTGCTCCCATAGTCTTTAGAAATGTGTTAATGTGGAGCAGTGTGACAGCTCTGAGCACTGATCCTGCTGTCCCTGCTCCTGGCTGGCACCACAGCTGTGACCCCTGGTGCCACCAGGCCCTTCTGCAGCTCATTCCTCTGCAATCCAACAGCTGGAATTCCCTGGAAGTCCCAGGAATTCCCTGCCTGTTGGGAAGAGTCCTGCCATGAGCTGCAGGTTCTCCTGAGCTTTCCATCCCTCCAAGCAGCTGCTGCTTGCTGGGAGCAGGGGAATGTGGAGCAGTTCTGAGCACAGCACACATGGCAGAGGTTTGCAGCAAGACAAGGCCTCTCTCCATTATTTATTTTTTCCAGTGTGGAAACACCTACAAAGCCAAAAGAAATTTCTGTTCTTTCCTTCCATAGCAATGGGAGGCCGAAGTTTCATCAGTTCTGATCATCCATGTACATCAGTTCTGATAAACCATTTATATCAATTCTGATCATCCATTTGCATCAGTTCTGATGGTCCAGTGGAAGCAGCTGGGGCTGAGTGTGGGAGCTGCCCCAGTTCCCAGTAAAAGGCTCCAGCAGGCTCTTGCTGGGCATACTGGTCCCTGCCTGGGCTGGGGACCCTGGGCACAGGCTGGTGGCAGCTGCTGGCACATGCAGTCATGCCCATCCTGACCCCCAAAACATTTTTTTGGGAATTCCTGCTGCAGCAGGGCCCATTCCCAAAGGGAGAGGCAGTGGGAGGAAGAGGCTCTGGGCTTGCTGGCTCTCCCCTGCAGCCATGGGGATGGGCTGTGTCCATCAGCACTCACCACCAGGGCTCTGCTGTGTTCCCCTGCTCCTTTTCTCTGCAAAAAGAGAGAAATTGGTGATTCTGCTTCTCTGCAGGCTCAGCTGGGGCAGCAGGAACTGAATGTGGGGGGTGTTTGCTGTGTCCAGGATGCAGCCTGGATTTGACCTGGGTCACAGTTCAGCTTTTGGCAGTGACCTTCCCTGAGTGTGTGGCTCAGTTTGGGGGTTTGGGAAGGTGGGGTGTCCCCCCAACTCTTTAATTCCCATCTGCACTGCACTCCCTGCTGGGCTGTGCCCTGGGGATCCTCCCATGGCAGCTCTGCAGATGGAGCTTGTGGCTGTGGGTTAATCCAATAATGTCATCATTTTTATCAGTGTTCAAACTGTTGCCTTTTGGGTTTTTTGATTTTTATCCGAGTGCTCCTGCCTGGGAAAGGACAGGGCTCCTGCAGGCACCCGCAGTGCTTTTGTTGATGCTCTTTTTTATCTTGTGTTACATCTCCATTTAAAGCTCATCTGTCTTTGAGCTGAGTCCTCGGTGCTGCCTGCAGAAATAGCACACACAGCAGAGGATTTGGCTTTTCCATCTCACACCACATTGATAGCCAGTGATGATTCCTGTTCCACGAAGGTTTTGCTGCCTTCCTCAGCTCTTGGTGATGGTGCACAGCAGCCTTGAGATTCTTTCCTTGCAGGGTTTCCCAGCCCCAGAGAGCAGCTGGAATTGTTGAGCCATCCCCCTGTGCTGTGCCTGGCATTTGTCAGCCCTGGAGCCCTCACTGCTGTGCTGCCCACTCTGTGCTAGATGAGCTCTTTGGGAGATGGAGAGCAGTTTCCAAAATGGTAATTCGAGCTTTTCATCAGCTCCTTGGCCAGGGCTATTTGTGGACTTGCTCTAAAACATCTTTTACTGCTGACTAATATTGATTAGGTTAAAAAATTAACCATCCAGCTTTGCTGCTTTGTTAGGCAGGGCTTCACTGCACTGATGGAAGCTGCGTGCCCACGTTGGGAGTTGGAGGGACATGGGGTGTTCCATCATTTTCCTTGGGACTGAGAAGGTGGTTTAGTGTCTCCTGGAGGGGTCAGATGGCCATAAAGCCATGCAGATCTCCCACTGCAGTGTCCCTGTGTGTGTGTGAGCTCTGTGTGCACATCACTGCTCAGCACAGAGAGCACTTTGCCTCACCAAAGCCACTTGTTCTGGGCCTGGAAAAAACCAAATGTGTGTGTTAGCTGCACTCACCTTCACTGCAGGGGGAAATGCCTGTGCTGGCAGACCAGGTGATGTTGGGAGGAAATGAGGAAATGCTCTGTGTGAGTGAGACTCTGTTTGCACATCCCTGCGTGTGCACCACGATCTGCTCCTCTTTTATACAAAGAAAAGTTTCTGCTTCCATCTCCTAGCTAAGGAGAGAAGGTCTGCAGGGAGAATCAGGGCTCAGCCTGTTGCTCACAGGCAGGAGGAGATTTTTTACCTGATTTTTTACTGCATGGCAATGCAACAACCCTGAGCTGGAGTGAAGCATTGAGTAAAGGAGAGGTGAGGATGAATCTCCCAGTCATGCCATGTCCATTCTGAGTCTTCATCAGATGGTCCATTGCACAGGATCAGGGTCTTAGGTGAAATGGGATTTTGCTGTGAACAGGAGTGTGTAAAAAAGAGCTCTTAAATCACTCTGGGTGGGGGGCAGCTGTCTGGAAGGCTGGAGATCCCTGCAGGGTGTGCCTGGAGTCCTGTCCCTGGGTGATTCCAGGTGAATTCACTGCTACAGCTGCAATCCTGCTGGGCTGGAGCAGAAAATAGGGATCAGTGGGAGGGTGGTGGGAGTTTTGTCCAGGAGCCCTGTGGATGCTGGCTGGGAGGATGAGATGATGAGTGGAACAAAGAGCAGGAGCTTTCTGGGGGGTACAAGTGATGCTTCTCAGGGCTCCAGAGCAGGGCTGTGACCCAGTGTGATGTAAATCACATAAATGTGAAGCTGTTGGTGTTTTCTGTGTGTGTGTGTGAACATGTGGGATGCCCCTGGGGTGGCTCATGGGGGTCCTGCTGCTGGCACCCCATTGCTGCTGCTCCTGAAGGGGCTGCAGGGCTGGTGTGGGCAGCAGAGCCCTCGTGTGTGACACAGCCTGCTCTGGGCTGTGCCTGCTCCTCTGCTCTGAAATCCAGGCCTCATCCTTTGGTCCTGTCCCAGAAAATGCCACCTCCCCAAACTGTACACAGGGGCTCCTGCAGAGCCTTTTGTGCAAAGCTGGAAAAGTTCCTCATCACTTAAGGATGAGTGCTGCAGCAAACACCTTAAAAATGTCATTTTGTGCCTGGTGAGGAACCTGCTTTCCCCAAAGCTACAAAATGGGAGCAGGAGTCAGGAAAATCTGTTTTCTGCATGTAATTGAGTCGCTGTTGGGTTTATCATTTTTGAGCTTGGAAAACTGAGGATTGAGTGTTGAGGGAGGAATTGGTAACATCTGCTAGCTGGAGATCTTGGGTGTCTGACCATTGCTGCTGTGTCCTGTGCAGTGCAGGAAGGACCTCTTAGAGCTGACAGACCTGCTCTGGGGAGGGTGAATAGTCCTCCTTCTCTTCCTCTTCCTTCTGTTCCTCCTCCTCCTCCTCCCTGGGAGGGCAGCTGGAAGGAGCCTGTCCTGTGCTGCTCCTGCCCTTGGCTCCTGGGTTTCAGGTGCCTTTTGTGCTGCTGAGCTGTCTGAGAGCTGGGCAGGGAGGGCAGGGAGGGCCGTGCTCTGCCAGCCCAGCCCTGCTGCAGGGGAGGTGCCCAGTCTGTGGCTCTGGTTCTGTGGCTCTAGGTCTGGGTCAGGCTCTGTGAGTCTGGGTCTGGTTTTATGCCTCTGGCTCTGTGACTGTGGCTCTGTAGCTCTGGCTCTATAGCTCTGGCTCTGTTTTTGGCTGGCTCTGGCTCTGTAGCTCTGGCTCTCTGTTTCTGGTTCTGTGGCTCTGGCTCTGGGTCAGGCTCTGTGGCTCTCTGGTTCTGGGTTAGGCTCTGGATCTGTGGCTCTGTAGCTCTGATTCTGGCTCTCTATCTTTGGCTTTCTGGCTCTGGATCTCTGTAGCTCTGGCTCTGTGTCTCTGTGTCTTGTCTGTGGCTCTGGCTCTCTGTGGCTCTGGCTCTCTGTTTCTAGCTCTGGCTTTCTGTATCCTATCTCTGTGGTTCTGTCTCTGTCTCTCTGTCTCTGTGGCTCTGTCTCTGTCTCTCTCTGTGTCTGTGGCTCAGGCCCTGGTGGCTGCTGGAGCCCACACGTGTCCTGTGTCCCTGCAGTGCCCAGACTCAGCCTGCAAGCAGGACCTGCTGGCGTACCTGCAGCGCATCGCGCTCTACTGCCACCAGCTCAACATCTGCAGCAAGGTGAAGGCCGAGGTGCAGAACCTGGGTGGGGAGCTCGTGGTCTCTGGGGTAAGTACAGCACACACACAGCCTCAGGGAATGGCAGCTCTGAGCTGAGCTTTGTGTTAAACGCTCAGAACACACACAGGAGATGCTGGGGCAGGCAGAGCTCTGATGGATGCAGAGTTTGTGTTGCTGCCTCGTTGTTTGTGCTTGCTGGGAAAATACAGATCTCACATTTCCTGACTCAACAGTGTCTGTAGACACATCCTCTTCACCTCTGTGGAATCTGTTTTCCAGACCGCTTTTCACCCTTAGTGAGGTTAAATCACTTTATCAGCACAGCTGAACCTGCCCCATGTCTCTGCACAGCCTTGGAACATGCTGGGGTCCTGCAGTGCTCCAGAGATGTTAATATTTCAGGATGGCTGTGCCCTGAAGAGTGCAGGGATTTTTAGTGGCTGCTCTGGTTTCTGACAGCTGGAAGCTGCCCCAGGCCAGCTTGCTTCCTTATTCCAGCCATTACTTTGCAAATAATTTTTTCACTGTAGTTCATGTAATGCTTCCTCCTAAGAGGATTCTGTATGACAGATTTTTGGGGGGAGTGAAGTGGAGCTAAATTCTTAATTTCTTCTGGCATACCCTTCCTTGCCCTGCACAGGCACGTTTGGTCGCTGGTGCTTTTGCCCAGCCAGGACTGAGGAAGGAGGTTGGGAGACAGAATTGGCTGATAGTCCAGAATTGCTCCCTGAATCCTGATCAGCAAATGGAAAAAACTTCCCCCATTCTGCCATTTTGATACCACAGAATCATGGAACAGTTTGGGTTGGAAGGGACCTTAAAACTCACCCAGTGCCACCCCTGCCATGGCAGGGACACCTCCCACTGTCCCAGGCTGCTCCAACCCCAATGTCCAGCCTGGCCTTGGGCACTGCCAGGGATCCAGGGGCAGCCACAGCTGCTCTGGGCACCCTGTGCCACTGATACTTTGCAGTGAAACCCTGTTTGATATTTCAATTGCTTCAACTCAGCACAGATTTCCCCCAAAATCCAGGGAGCTCTGTGGAAGGAGAGCTTTGGGGCAGCAGCAGCAGCAATAGATATCCCTGCAGGACCTGAGCCCATCTGGGGGTGATGGGGCTGTGCTGTCCCTGAGCTGCTGCCAGCCCCCCCTGCTCCCTTCCCAGCCCCCAGAGCAGCTCCAGGGCTGTGCTGGGCTGTGCTGCTCCTCCTGTCCTGGGAGCTGGGAGGCTGAAGCTGTCAGAGCAGGAGATGTGTTACTGTGCAGTTACTCAGTGCCTGCAGGATTTACATCCCCTCTGCCATAAATTCCTGATAGAAGCTCCTGGCATCTGATGTCCTGCTTTGGTCCCTTCTCCTCCAGCCTGTCCTTTGGGGCTCAGGCTTGCCATGGGATAATGAGATGGAGACCTGACCTGTGTGAAAGGAAAATTCAGTCCAGCGTTGATGCCCTGCCCATGCAGGAGAGTGCAGTGAGAGCAGAGCTGGCACCTGCTGACAGTTCATTCAGAAAAACAATTCCCTGATCTCCTGGCCTCTGATGATTCCTCCTGCTGGGAGGGTTCTGGAAACACTCCAGGGCAGAGCACAGGGGATTGCCAGAGGATCTGAGGTGCCACAGTGGGGTAGAAGGGAAGGGACAGTGCCCTAGAAAAGCCACCAGAACCAAACCCTGCCCCAGATCAAACCCTGTCCTGACCTTAAACCCTGGCTTAAGCCAAACCTGCCCCAGACCAAACCCTGCCTTAGATCAAACCCTGGCTGAAGCCAAACCTGCCCCAGATCAAAGCCTGCCTTAGATCAAACCCTGGCTTAAGTCAGACCTGCCCCAGATCAAAGCCTGCCCAGAACCAAACCCTGCCCAGAACCAAACCCTGCCCCAGACCAAACCCCTGTCCCAGCCCATTTGGCCCTGACAAGCTGGGGGTCCCACCCAGAGCAGGACAGTGGCCCCTGGGGAAGGGGGGCCCTTCCCCACTCTGCTCCTCTCCCCTCTGCTCCACCCAGCCCTGGTCTCAGCTCTTTGTCCTGGCTGTGCCCTACAGCTTTGACAAATTCATGTTTTTCCTTGTTTTGATGCTCTTGTAAATCAGGAGCAGCTGGGAAAGGGCTCCAGGCCTGGCTGGTGATGCAGTTGTGTTCTTTCCCAATACAACTTAGTATTCTAGGGCAATTGAAATATTTATTATCGGTGATTAAGATATTACTACAGCTTTATTAATTTCGTTAGAGAATGAGCAACTGCTAAGGCTTAGTCACAAAAGCAAAGGGCAGAATATAAATGGTTCCCATTGCCAGTGATATGGAAAATGCAGACAGGGGGGCAAACCCTGCTCTGTGTTGGTGGCACAAAGTCATGTTTGTCACCACTGAGCATCCAGAGAAAAATCCTGCCTCAAACTGGGAGCCTCAGGTTTCAAAGGGAAAACATCAATGAGTTTTGGAGCAGTTTTACCCGCAGGCCTGTGCTGTTGTCAGGGTGCTGGGGGTCCCGTGGTGTGTAACTGTGTGTCCCTTGGCAGGTGGACAGTGCCATGTCCCTGATCCAGGCAGCCAAGAACCTGATGAACGCCGTGGTGCAGACGGTCAAGGCTTCCTACGTGGCCTCCACCAAGTACCAGAAGTCCCAGGGCATGGCCTCCCTCAACCTCCCAGCTGTCTCCTGGAAGATGAAGGCTCCAGAGAAGAAACCCCTGGTCAAGAGGGAGAAACAGGACGAGACCCAGACCAAAATCAAGAGGGCATCCCAGAAGAAGCACGTGAACCCCGTGCAGGCCCTGAGCGAGTTCAAGGCCATGGAGAGCATCTAGAGGAGAGCTCTGTGCTCTCCAGGGGCTCTTTTTCTCTAGCCCACTACTGCTACTTCCAGAACTCTACTTTTAATACCCTAAGGTTGTTTTTTTTTTTTTTTTTTTTTTTACATTTTTTTTTTTTTTTTTTTAGGTTTTTTTTTTTTTTTTTTTTTTTTCAAAAATTTGCTATTCCTCCAAATGTATTTACTTAATATAATTTTGATAACTTTGTTTAGATTACCTGGGGAGATACTCAGATTTCTAAGTCCTATCAGTGTATCTTCAGCCTGCAGAAGTGTGGTAATTTAGATGGCTTTTAGGTTACAGGGGTGGATTTCTAGCTGGAAATTGTTTTTTTATAATCTTGCTTTAAATGAAATATTCTATAACCAAAGAGGATTTTACAGTAACACTAATGGTTAACACTAATACTGGATCATGCTACTCAGAGACTCAGTTTATCATGGTGATCAAGAGAGAAAAAATTAGATTTTTTTTTTTTTTTTTTTACTCAAAATTAACGCAAGCGTTGGATGTCATAGTGTATCTGTGCTGTGTGGAGAAGAAGGGAGCAAGCTCAGAGCAGTTTGAAATTGCAGCAGGCACCGGCTGTGTGAGCACAGCTGGAAAACAGCTGGAAAACCACCACAGCCGTGCCTGGGCTGGGCTTTGCTGGGGATGCTGCTCGGAGCCGGGCTGGGCGTTGCTCTGGGGCTGGGATGTTTTTTTTTCCTGGGCTACCCCCGGAGCCCTCTGGGCAATTCCCTGGCGCTCCTGGCACTGCTCCGTGCCCGGGGAGCTCCGGACCCATCCCTGCGGAAACCTCCCGGGCGTGGGCGGCCCCATCCTCCTGCGTGACACGGAATTGTAATGCCTGGTTACAAATTACTAATGTATTTTGCTGCGGGACACTAATAAAGTTGCTTTTCCCAGCTGGTGCATTGTGGTGCTGTGAATGGAGCGGGGCTCAGCCCGCCCCTCTCATCCCCCCCCCTCCCCTCGCCATTCAGATGCAAATCAGCTTTGTGCTCATTCCTCATAATTGCTCTGCATCCCGCCTTGGGCTTCCAGAGGCACCCAGGAAATCGTGTTTGCTCAGGCTGCAATTTAGACTGTACATTATTTGTGATAACTATAGCTACAAGGTATAATTTCGCTGTCTTATTTAAATTTTATGAATTTCAGTGTGTTTCACACGTCCCAGTCGAGTCGGGTGCAGGTTCCTGCAGAGCTGGAACAGCCTGGGCTGCACTCCGTGTCTAAAGTGGAGAGCTGAGCCTTGGCACTGAAATGTTATAATTTTATTTATCTCAATCAGCGCTCATAATTTACCGTATTAAGGTTATTGCTGTCATGTTACTGTAATGCTGATCGGAATTAAGCTAAATAGTTTTTGAGTTATTTTTGCCAAATGTATTGTGTTTTCAAGCGTTTTAGCCTCTTGAGTACAGCTATTAAACAATGGAATTATAGGCTATTTTCATAACACTTGAACATGTAAACAGGCTCGGAGGGAGAGCTGTGCTTCACTGCTGTTTGGGGGTTAACAGACTCTAGGTCTTCTTTTAGAGATAATTATTAATTTATACAATATGTTTGGTTTTTTTTCCTCCTGGTATTGTCTTAAAGGTGACATTCCCTGAGCTGTTTAGGGACTACATCCAATGCCTCCCCCCAATGCAAGCTATCAGTGAGCTTTTAAAAACAACCTTTATTAAGATGTACAGACAAATTTACACGTATTTAGCTTTTAAATAGACTCTAGTTTAATTTATGCTACGAACATGGAGCATCAAGAAATTAAAATGTGGATCCCCCTGTGAGAGCTGCAGCCCCAGGGGGTGCAGGAGCAGCAGGAAGGCGATGGGGACAGGAGGCAAAAAAAAAAACCAAAAAACACATTTCTTGTGTACCCCAGAACTGCTCCTCCGAGAATTTGGGTTTGGAGCAGAGAATGGCATCGAGGAGAATCATTATTGGTGCGACATTAATTGCTCCGTTCAGGAGTGCAGCAGCAGCGGTGGAAGGGAGAAAACCCCCTATAAAAACCTTTTTTTCTGAGGGGATTTTGTGTGATGCAAGAGCAGTGTCAGTGCTTGGGGATCCTGGGGCAGGGCAGGGAATTCCTCATCCCGAAGAGAACCCGCTCCTGGCACCTCGGGGCTGTTCAGGAACATCCCAAAATCCAGGTCGGTCAGGAGTTCAGAACCTCCAAACACCGATCCGGCTGTGCCAGGGAATTCCAGCTGTGCTAGAGAAATCCAGCCCTGGTAGGGAATTCCAGCTGTGCCAGGGAATTCCAGTCCTGGAGGGAATTCCAGCTGTGCCAGGGAATTTCAGTCCTGGAGTGAATTCCAGCCTTGGAGGGAATTCCAGCTGTGCTAGAGAATTCCAGCCCTGGCAGGGAATTCCAGCTGTGCCAGGGAATTCCGACCCTGGAGGGAATTCCAGCCCTGGCAGGGAATTCTGGCCCTGGAGGGAATTCCAGCTGTGCCAGGGAATTCCAGCTGTGCCAGGGAATTCCAGCCCTGGCAGGGAATTCCGGCCCTGGAGGGAATTCCGGCTGTGCCAGGGAATTCCAGCTGTGCCAGGGAATTCCGGCCCTGGAGGGAATTCCAGCTGTGCCAGGGAATTCCAGCCCCGCTGGAGCAGCGCTCAGAGGGGCTCCGGCCGCCAGCGGAGCCGTGACTTTATTAGGGAGCCAATTGGAGAGAATTGCAGTAATTACTGCTCCGTGTAATTAAGCGCTGGGGAAGGGCTCGTGCCGTCGCTGTCGCTGCCGGAGGACGATGCCGGGCTCGGGGACAGCTCCGGGGACTCTTCAGACCCCATCAAAGCCCACCCGACCCCACCCAGCCCAACTTTCCCCATTCCCAGCCCTCCCTGGGCATGGGGGACCCGCCGTGGCTTCGGGCAGGGAAGGGCTCTGGGATTTCCCTGCTCCTCAGGCACCCCCTGGAACACACCAGAGCACTTGCTGCAAGGGTTTTGGGATTTTTTTGCAGTGATTTGAAGAGTTTTGGGTTTTTTTCTTGCAGTGCAGTGGAGCAGCAGCTGTGCTGAGGCTGTGCCAGAGCCCGGCAGACCTGGCAGTGCAGGGATGTCGGGAAGATGAACCCATTATCTTCTAAAGTGTATTAGTGAAACCACATTAAATCCTCAGGAGATAAGTCTTATTCCAGATTTCAAGTGCTCTTAATTCAATTCCGCGGTGAATGGAGCCGCGTTGAATTGATGCCGCTTTAATTGTGTGTGAAGTTCCCGTGCCACGATTTAATGCCCGTTAATGAGCGCCTTCCCCACCCCGAGCTGTCCCTATTCCCTCCGCCTTTGGGATGTGTCAAAGAGGGGACAGGGACACCCCGAGCTGGCTCCAAACATCAAACACACAACTTGAGAAAGGATTGGGAGGGCTGAGTGCATTCAAAACCCCAACAAATGGGTGAGAAAAGGAAAAATCCATTAAGGGCCATCAGCTGCTGCAGTGCTGGAGGATGGGGAGTGTCCCAGGGTGGCACAGCCCGGTGTCTAAAGGGTGCCAGGATTTGGGGAGCTCAGGCTGAGCCAGCACAGCCCCCCTGGTGCTCCTGTGGGTGAAGGGGAAGGGGCAGGAGCTGCTCCTGGCTCTGTGACTCCAGCACTTAACACCTGACCCCTCTTGAAGCTGGAGGAGTGGGGGGATCCTGTTGGCTCCAGAACGAAGCTGGAAGTGCCCATCCCACCCCCCAGGCCTGCACTGGGATCCAGTGAAACCTTCCCAAGGTTTCCATCTGCCCCAGGACCCCCTACCCTGGAGCCCCTCCAGCCCTGCCTCGCTCTGTGCCTGGGGGAGGCTGCAGGAATTTGGGGGATTTGCAGAACAACAGGGCTGGCTCTGCACAGGGGCTGGGGCAGGACTGTCCCCTGTCCCCTGTCCCTGTCCCCTGTCCCTGTCCCTGCCAGGGGAGGCCCAGGCACCACTGCCCAGGACCTCACAGAGCCTCTGCCCTACAAGTGCCCTGCCAGGGCCCAGTGCCTCAGGAGCAGCTCTGCCAGGAAATTGATTTTTGCTCTCATTTTTTGGCCTCCTTTCAGTGCTCCACGTCCTTGGCTGTGTCACTCTGCTGATGTGTGGGAAACAGCCCAGGTGACCTCGCTGGGGACACGGGCACTTCCTGCTGCCATCCCAGGCACAGGGGCCATCCCAGGGCTGGCACTGAGTGGCACTGACCAGGAGCCACCACCTGCTCCCTCCTGAGCTGCCCTGGAAGCCCACGGGCACCCCCCAGCCCCAGGGCCAGCACAGGCGTCCCCTGCTCAAAAACTTGGCAGGTTTAAGATTTTTAGGAAGAACGAGTGGGGTTTTGGCTTTGGGGTTGGACAGGGAGGGCTGCTGGTGGTTTTCTCCCCTAAAGAGGTGTTAGGAAATCCCCACCTTAAATCCAGCTGTGACACAGTGACAAGGCCAGGCCTGAGAAATCCCTGTGCTGTTCCTCCCCAGTTCTGCTGGATCCCTGCTTCACCTGGCATCACTCCAGAGGCTCAGGTTTCCAGCAGAAAAGCCCCTTCCCATGCTTGTCCTGGCTGTTTGTTACCATCAGATATGTCTGAATTTTTTCAAAACCTACAAAGCAAAGCCTTGGCAAGGCTGGCTGGGAAATGCATTTCAGATAAAAATAGGAAAAAAAAAATTAATGCCAGCAAAACAGCCTGAAACCCCAAAAAGAGAAAGATCAAAAAACAATCAGTAGTTATAATTAGCCCTATTACTTACCAGTGACAAGTGACACACTGCACATGGGAGACACAAATATTTGAGCACAAAGCCCAGTGGTTGCAGGGTCACAGGGGTGGATGGATCTGGTGGCATTTGTGCCACCACCCTGGTGGTGGCAGAGCCCTGTAAGGGCTGGGGGATGGAGGGGACCAGCTGGGCTCTGGGAGGCCTGGAGGGAGTGCAGGGATTCAAAAATCCCCTCCTGGGAGTGACACAAACACAGCCCCCCGTGGGAACACCACTTGTTCCCTTTCTGCAAATCCCAAATCCCCCCAGCTTGTTCCCTGCACTGCACACCTCTGTTTCTCCAGGAAAACAAGACATTCACCACACCCCAATATATTT